TTTGTAATTAAAAATGACAACGTTGTAAATTCTAGACGTTATAAGAGAAAACAAGTTCATTTAGTGACCCTTCTGGGGAACACATTTATATCAGAGATGTATCTAATGTCATGACATCATTTTTCAGACAGCGAATTCACTTTATTAACGCCATACTCTAGTTTGCGATCGGGAACAGCGCCTATACATCATCGTTTCTGACCTAACGATTGACAACAGAGAACAGAATTTCTCATTATTTTAGTCAGAAAAGGATATCCGACCGTCATTCTTTACGGAATCGTCATTGTATTAACATTATGTCTCCAACAGGTCTCTCACTTATTGCATTAGTATAAACCTATCGATAATTAGATCCCGATTTATCACGTTGTCTTCATTCGTTATCACAACTATGGTGCAATGTGTTTGTGCGGTGCTCATTATTGTGACCTGTGACATCAGCGGTTCCTTCTATCGGACACCAGCAGCGTGCTCTATCAGCAGAGCCGAATGACACATTAATACGTCTACGTGAACGTGACAGAGAAGTGATACAAAAACCTATACTATAGAATGTCTAAGACAGCTATTGTGTCTTGCCAATCAATTTTCCCGTGTTTCTTAAAGTACCAAATACAGAAACAGCGCGTAGCGATGTGGTTTACTTGGCAAACGATGTATTGTTCTATTAGTTATATACGTCAAATATAAATAGTTGTTTGTGATAATTATCAACCCACTTCAAAATTGTCATACAAATCGCACGGTGTTGTTTGAAGTACTATTTATTTCTCTTACTGGCAGTGAAATACGAGGTTACTAGGAAGAAAAATAAGTGACATTTGATATTTTTCACTCACTTTTGACTTATCAGATTAACATATTTTCATAGCTGGTCGTGTCATCCCTTGTTTGCACGTTCCACACGACTTACAGACAATCTAGATTATTTCCTGATAGCGATGATGATTGGATAAGACCTACAGACCGTTAGACATTATCTGTTAGGTGATATATTGGTATACTGATCTCCACCTTCTTCAATCCATCAACACTTCGCCATTTTGTGACCGCTGTGTTGATAATATTTCTATCACGTCGTTAAAAATGTGAAATATGATGAAACTTTCATTACATAGATCCTGACCAACCTGAATTGAACTATCAGTGTTTTATTTACTTACTGTAAGTTATTTGAAAATTCGTGTCCAACGTCAGGTACTATGTTGTCCGGCGGAGAAATGTCAGTAGATCACACAGGAGTTAGAGCTGCGTTTTCAATGTCATAAAGGAAAGGTGGGAAAAAGTAAAATACATAAATGAAACATATTCTCTTTGTAATTTGATAGCAGAATGCTAACTATAACTGAAAATCGAACACATCATTAACAACTGGAGACGTAAAAAAGTGTAAATTGGTTAAAAAACACTTCTAATTCTACGACTTTACACGTAACTGATAGACACATTGACGAATTAGAAATATCTATCGTGTCTCAAGCTGCAATAAGAAATATGTTTTCTTATGTGATCATTATAATTTTATGTAGTATCGTTTCAAGTTGTGTCTCGTTGTGCAGGCCCTTCCATTAGCAGGCATATACGACTGTATTGGAATACACCTTATAGGATGTTTCCAGGAAGAGACACAGAAGCCAAGGGAAATGTATTCTTTCATTTTGTCTGTATTTTCTGCCAGACTGTAAACGATGGTGATCGCTAGATAGTACCGATGATACAAGGCATCTGAAACACAAGTCTGTCTGTTTGGCATTTCTCGGATACTTATTAAAAGGCTCAGGACGTTGTTCAATTTTTTTTCTGAATCCCGAACCAAATATTCTGAATTCAGTGTACGTTTAGACAAAACAACATACTATAGTGTTGTGTCTGTTTAGGAATTGTTACGATAAATGAAATGGGTTTGAACAAGACGAAGGAAATAATATCGAGTTTTAGCCAGGCTGTATTTAGACTACCAATGAGATAGGCCCCTCTTGAGACGTTATAATGCCTGATATTTCTACGATACGTCCGTTTACACATTATATAATTAATTGTTGCGACATAGTAACGTATTATGTTGAAGCCGGAGACTTCCACTTAGTGCTGCTGTACTCGTGTAAATAGAATAGACAGCTAAAAAGGATTTTCATTAAGGACTGATATATCTAGTTTCATCTTAATCAAATTCATCAGCACATATTTATAAATAAAATTTTGCTGGATTAAATTTGGGGCTTTATTTATGCTGGAATCTGTGATTAAGATATTTCTTTTCAAATGAATTGTAATATGTATTAGTGTAAGAAATATCTTCTGTATTAGAACTTGTTTTCATGTAATCAATGCAATCGGTTGTTGAGGAAAAGTGTTCTTTACTTTCCTAACTATCTAAAACAAACATAAACCATATCTCATACTTATTTGTATGTCATCTATATCACTCCCGATAGAACGTGTAACGTGCGCACCATATGTGCGATAGTTAATTTCGTCCAGTTTTCCCATATTGTGTACATCGTGCACACATCATACAGACATAATGCGTACATCATGCAGACACCGTGCGCGCACAACTGTACTTAACGAATTGTGTCATAAGTTTTTAGTATTGTGTGACTCGTAACGCAAGCTCTTCATAATTTGATGAAGAAAGTTTGTTAAGCGACGTTTGACGTCCTCACAACCTCCGAATAACAACCTTCATATGATAGATTGTACGAAAGATACACAAGTGAATAGTACCTTTTCATTAATTAGATTGAAATACAGCAGAGCCAAATAATGAATTAAACTGCATTATTCCGCTGTTTCGTCCTTCTAGAGTTCGTCAGTGATGCTTAGGGCCTAAATTTTGAAGTCTATGAGGTGACTAAGGAAAATCCAAAGTGAACAAGAGAAAAATCAACATCTAGACGGAGAGGTACAGCAGTCCAATAATTCGATATGAAAGAATTCAATCATATAGAGTAAAATTATAGCCTTTTGATCAGCCTATCGTCAACCTTAGACAAAACATGTAATATGATAACAAAATCCCAGATATCTGCTGTACCGTTAAATAAATGATAATGTGATCACCACAACATCTAAATCATAATGATAACCAATTTGACTCACCTTTTGGACTTGCTCTTATGGCGAAAGTCATTAATGAAGACGGTAACAGCAGTTTTTGCACTGCACGTGGTGTTTTTTAAAACTCCACGACATCGATGTGCAATGTATTGTATTAACGTCATCATGGTGAATCTGCCCGTTAGATTAACAATGTTTTGGAGTAAAGACATCAGAGTGAATCTGCCCATACGACGTAAAATGGTTTTGACTTAAGACATCAGAGGTAATCTGCCCATAAGATTAACAATGTTTTTGGAGTAATGACATCAGAGTGAATCTGCCCCTATGCTATTTAATGTTGCTGTCATATAGTTCAATTGGTTGTTTAATCACCTTTTTGCATGGAAATCACTTGACACAATACAATTTTATTATTACATGTTTACATGCAATTTTGTCCTACTTTTGTAACTCTCTAAACATGTGTGTTTTTATTATTTCCTGTCCTACTTTTGTAACTCTCTAAACATGTGTTTTTATTATTTTCTGTCCTACTTTTGTAACTCTCTAAACATGTGTTTTTATTATTTCCTGTCCTACTTTTGTAACTCTCTAAACATGTGTTTTTATTATTTCCTGTCCTACTTTTGTAACTCTCTAAACATGTGTGATTTTATTATTTTCTGTCCTACTTTTGTAACTCTCTAAACATGTGTTTTTATTATTTCCTGTCCTACTTTTGTAACTCTCTAAACATGTGTGATTTTATTATTTTCTGTCCTACTTTTGTAACTCTCTAAACATGTGTTTTTATTATTTCCTGTCCTACTTTTGTAACTCTCTAAACATGTGTTTTTATTATTTCCTGTCCTACTTTTGTAACTCTCTAAACATGTGTTTTTATTATTTTCTGTCCTACTTTTGTAACTCTCTAAACATGTGTGATTTTATTATTTTCTGTCCTACTTTTGTAACTCTCTAAACATGTGTGATTTTATTATTTTCTGTCCTACTTTTGTAACTCTCTAAACATGTGTTTTTATTATTTCCTGTCCTACTTTTGTAACTCTCTAAACATGTGTTTTTATTATTTCCTGTCCTACTTTTGTAACTCTCTAAACATGTGTGATTTTATTATTTCCTGTCCTACTTTTGTAACTCTCTAAACATGTGTTTTTATTATTTAAAGCTGCGATAAACGATGTCAAATCATCAAACAATCATGTCGTTATCAGAATGATTAGATGAGTTCTAGAAGAAACAGTAAGCCATAATCTAGGGATACAAGAACAAATGTGTATCTGCCTCAAACATGTCATTTTATTACTTTAATGGGGAGAAAATACATTAAAATTGGTAAAAGTGCAGCACTTTTACCGGCACTTTCACCGGCAATAGCTCAGAAACACAGAACGCAGGAATTAAAAATGAATTAATATTGCTACTTTAATACGCATTTTCACTATAAAACGGCCACTGAGTGGCCAAAAAATAGTAGATACAAATGTCCTGTCTTCATATAAATTGAAGTTTAGAGAGGATGTAGAGCTCTGAGTAAACAACCAAAATCACGAACAATCAAACTCTTGCTGAAAAAAAGTATTACACAAAAATGGAGAAGGAAGTGAAAAAGAAGCGCCATCTTATCTCAATATTAACTAACTCATGCTCACGAGCTCTTACCATTATTCGAAAACTTACTAGCATGAATTTTGGAGATTTGTACACAGCAGCATGCTTGGAGAGCTGTGTGCTCGTAGACTGTGTGCTTGGAGAGCTGTGTGCTCGTAGACTGTGTGCTTGGAGAGCTGTGTGCTCGTAGACTGTGTGCTTGGAGAGCAGTGTGCTCGGAGACTGCGTGCTTGGAGAGCCGTGTGCTCGTAGACTGTGTGCTTGGAGAGCTGTGTGCTCGGAGACTGCGTGCTTGGAGAGCTGTGTGCTCGTAGACTGTGTGCATGGAGAGCAGTGTGCTCGGAGACTGTGTACTCGGCGAATGTGTGCTTGGAGAGCTGTGTGCTCGGAGACTACGTGCTTGGAGAGCTGTGTGCTCGGAGACTGCGTGCTTGGAGAGCTGTGTGCTTGGAGACTGCGTGCTCGGAGACTGCGTGCTTGGAGAGCTGTGTGCTCGTAGACTGCGTGCTTGGAGAGCAGTGTGCTCGGAGACTACCTGCCTGGCGAGCTGTGTGCTCGTAGACTGCGTGCTTGGAGAGCTGTGTGCTTGGAGTCTGCGTGCTCGGAGACTGCGTGCTTGGAGAGCTGTGTGCTTGGAGACTGCATGCTTGGAGAGTTGTGTGCTCAGAGACTGCGTGCTTGGAGAGCTGTGTGCTCGTAGACTGCGTGCTTGGAGAGCAGTGTGCTCGGAGACTGCGTGCTTGGAGAGCAGTGTGCTCGGAGACTGCGTGCTTGAAAAGCTGTGTGCTCGGAGACTGTGTGCTTGAAGAGCTGTGTGCTCGAGACTACGTGCTTGGAGAGATGTGTGCTCGGAGACTGCGTGCTTGGAGACTGCGTGCTTGGAGGGATGTGTGCTTGGAGACTGCGTGCTCGGAGAGCTGGGTGCTCGGAGATTGCGTGCTTGGAGAGCTGTGTGCTTGTAGACTGCGTGCTTGGAGAGCTGTGTGCTTGTAGACTGCGTGCTTGGAGAGCTGTGTGCTTGGAGACTGCGTGCTTGGAGAGATGTTTGCTCGGAGACTGCGTGCTTGGAGAGCTGTGTGCCTGGAGAGCTGTATGCTCGTAGACTGCGTGTTTGGAGAGCTGTGTGCTCGGAGACTGCGTGCTTGGAGAGCTGTGTGCTTGTAGAGCTGTATGCTCGTAGACTGCGTGCTTGGAGAGCTGTGTGCTCGGAGACTGCGTGCTACGAGAGCTGCGTGCTTGGAAAGCTGTGTGCTCGGAGACTGCGTGCTCGGGTAGCTGCGTGCTTGGAGAGCTGTGTGCTCGTAGAATGCGTGCTTGGAGAGCAGTGTGCTCGGAGACTGCGTGCTTGGAAAGCTGTGTGCTCGGAGACTGCGTGCTTGCAGAGCTGTGTGCTCGGAGACTGCGTGCTCGGAGAGCTGTGTGCTTGGAGAGCTGTGTGCTCGGAGACTGCGTGCTTGGAGAACTGCGTGCTCGGAGACTGCGTGCTTGGTGAGCTGCGTGCTTGGAGAGTTTGATTCTTATAGAGCTGTGTGCTATTAACGGGAAGCTGACAACGTGACTAGGAGGGCCTGGATGTCCTTAGACATGTGCTCTTCGTGACGGGATTGAGTTGAGTGATCAAAAAGACTTAAATCCAGATTTTTAACTTTGAAGTAAAACAAATCTCTCTAAATACTAATGGTGGAACTTTGTGTGGAACTGAAACTTCTAGTAGACGGTGCACTTTTAGCTTATGTGGGACATTGAAATTTATTGAGGTTTACGATAATTTCCAGAAGGTTTTTTTCTGAGTAATTTTGCCTAATTGAATGAGGATATAAATACAGTAGATGTAATACATTTGTGTTTTTTGTTTTCTTATCATTTTGTATATATTGTTGAATGTATATTTTGTAATTGTCTATAAGCTGTACATCGGCAACAGACCTATTGCGACATTTCTTGCCAGTCAACCAAAACAGAACATGAATTCATGTATCTTAGTATAGCAAGGATACAGAAGCTTGGACGAAGCCTCCCCATGGAAGTTTTATGGTCGCCATAGTAATCTCATCGAGAAATATTCTATTTCTTGGTGCGATATATAAAGCTGGGCGTGTTTGATGCTCGTTAGTCTACCTTTTGGTTCTGTTGTTGTATACCTTGGTCTCATTTGATAACGTAACATTACTTACTAGGATAAACCAAGGTATACATAACGGGTGTCTTCGATGAAAGAGAAGGCGCTTACACTTTCGGAACACGTGGTCTTATTCTCACTAATACCTTGTTCAGGAATCTCCGTGTAAATTTGTCTTTTGTTAATATTTTGCCCTAGTTTTAAGGAATTTGAGTTTGAATTATGATTATGAAGACATGCTGATATTTTCTCGATGTTTTTCATATAAGTAGGAGTAGGTGATATAGCAATTAAAGTAGCGTGTATGTGCTGTTCACTGATCTTGAGTTTGTTATATACATTTTTACACTTTGTACATTTAACCGAAACTATCTTTTAATGTCGTAAGTGCATTGTGAACTGTATTGCATCTCAATTCTTTAAACGTGCTCTTGTAAGATGCATTTTGTTCCAGATAATAATGAAATGTTAACTGGCACCATTTACAACCACAAAAATGGAACCAAACGGCTTCAGATGGTTTTTTTTTGTTGAGGCTTTATTCCGTTAGAACATCTTTCGCTAAATGGCGTGATTTTGTTTTATAACAGCCTGTCAGAAAGATTTTACCGCTAATGGTACAGTTTAAATATATTTGTTACAACATTAATAGTACAGATATGTAAGTTACGACTTGGAGATTAGAAACCGACTCATAGAATGAGCAATGAATTGTCAATCAAAAATTGATGATAACAGGTTTTACCACACAATCATATATATACCTTGTCAGTGTAAAACAAATTAAGGCAAACATATTATGATACATGTTGTGTAATGGGAATTAAGGGTTTATTTGAAGACCAAAATAATAGTGCTAGCGATGAAATACAAAGCCAATGATAAAGACAGCTTGGATGTTGCTAAGTGTCGATTTCTACCTCAATCTGGATTTTCAATCTGTTTGTAGTAATTCAAACCATTCTCTGACACGCGAAAGGAAAATGAGATTAAATCAAAATGATTGAATTGCACCGGGTATAAATGATAAACACTGCTGAACAAATTGAAAGGATACCTTTTTTAACGAACGTTGGAATGATATCAATATGAATTATACGTTATAGGTGTTTCATTGTGATTATATAACATTCTTCAATATAACCCGTATTCCCCCATATAATGTTGCGCGTTTGTTGATGGCTTGAAACAAAGTGGTTAATGAATATGGCATCACTATCACTCTATCAACTCACATAGACAAAATAAAACTGTTATAATTACAAATCTCTGCAGGTTTGCGTGCCTTCAGACATGTTAACATTGCTTTTTCTATTTCCCATAAAAAATGTTGAACAACCGCGAGCTGTAATGTACTGCAGGGCTTCCTCCATGGTTGATCAAATGTAACGACAAAGTTAATCGTAACTTGATAGTTTTAAGATAAGTAATATCAATTGAGAACCCATTTTCATTTTTTGAAATTGAGCTAGCAAATTACCGTAATGTGTTTTAAACATTTCAAGCGAGTAAGTTGACCTACTCCGGAAGTAGTTTACATTTCGGGATCCTACCACATAATTCGAACTATTAGCGATCAGGTACATTACTGATCAACTGAAAATCACATGACATACAGTAACATGATGGCAAAGTTTAATAACAACATACAGACGGTAAACACCCATTCATGACGATAATAACACTGCGTTTAAAAGGCAATAGAAAAGCAGTTCGAAGTGTTTTATTGATGTGGTAAGTCATCGCCTTGCTGGTATCTTCCCCAGACAAGTTGTCCATACCAAGGTAAATAACTGATCTTGTTAAATGAACAGAGTGAAAATGAATGGACATGACTGCTTCTAATACCAATGCTCGTTTTATACTGGATAACTATGGCTTAAGGTTGACGAAAGAAATGATATCTAATGTTTGTAGATTATGACACATGATGCAACTTTTCTATTTGTTCCGATTAAATGAGACATTTGAAGTATGCTAGTAGATCATAATGTAAATCTACAATACAGTTAGACTTTATAACAAAAGATTTCACACCGGTCGCTCTAAGCTTGTAGTCAAAAACACAAAACAACGTTTGACTGAAAGATCCATTAACGTACATCACTCAAACATCAGACTGGTATACCGGACCACATCTTGGACAATATTTCAAGGTTTCGTGCCCAAAAGCGGTAAAACGCCTGAAGTATTATAGAATTCAAAGGAAATGGACCATATGTCTGTCTAATGCAATCTTTCAGGAGGCTGTCTTTTCGCAAACCTCAACATTATCCAAGAAAAATGAGAGGAAGAATGACCTTTATTGACAAGACGTGTGATAACGATTATTAAAACCAACGGCCAGCGTTTGATATTTAACTGAAGTACATTTCAAATAAATTCCCCAGACAATTTGATATCGGTTAGCGTTTATTGATTTCGATGAGAAGACGAATGTGCATTACTTGGCAATCATTTAAGAATATTAAAAAATGAAATGCATCAAGTTTAGTGTTCGACAGTATGTATGAATTGAGATCTAATGCACAAATACTCACCTTTTTCTCGATCACATTTCTATCGTTTAATATCGCAAGCATTATCATCTTATCATCTTTATCTAAATTGATAAGTCGTCGTATTTAAATCAACCCCTCCATACATTAATATCAAGTTCACTTCATTCGAGATTATATATTGTAAGATCAATATTACTAGCTGTCTCTAAAAGAAACATAACGATATTATTTTCAGTAAGTACAACGTACAAAGACACAATATATAATGCTGAGTTTTCAAAAATCAACAAGAAGTTTTCTTTCTTATATGTTAGATTTTGATAAATTAACTTTTAGGTGAGTCATGTATTTTCTCGCAAATGCGAATTCAGTCATTTGCAGAAACAGGAAAAAACTTTAACTGATAAGGAATTATTATTTCATGTATTAATGAGACAAAGTAAGCCTTTATTATGGAACACTCAAAATTAATATTAATCTAGAATAATAATGACAACCCAAAAACAAATAGTCAAATGTGTAGGAAAATATTTTCACAAGAGCAATTCGTTACACAGACAGTTGGTAGGACAGACATTCACATCAACTTAGCCTGTGGATGGAATTTTTATACCGGAATCTACGCTTTGTGATCCAAACAACAATAAACCATTCATGTGTATTGATTTCAAAGAACATTACTTCATTTCTTGTAGACAGGCAGATTAAAAGTCTAAAATTTTCCTCTTGTTCAAGCTTTAATATGGGGTATGACTGACAAGTAATCAGTATGTCACATATACACTTGTGTTATATTCCAATAAAGTTGCAGAAGGAAATTAGGAATCAAGTGGGTTGGCTTTACTACATAATATAGTTTCATAACATGTTCTACTTAAACTTACATAGCGTGACAATGCTATTTCTATGGCTTTAGAGTTTTTATCATGCATTCAGTAATTCTTGAAGCTTGTAATTGTGCCGGAACAGTTATGGTAAACGTATCTCTATATGTCCTTTTTCCGGAGCTGCTTCACCATCATAAGGGGTATAGCTTTACACAGCTCCGTCGTTTTTGTTCATTTACCATTATCAAACAGCAAAATGGACCCATAAATTTAACGTGATAATTCCTTACTCAAACATATCCAAACCACTTTCTAAAGTCTGATGGGCGCAGTTGCAAGAAGCTAAATGCATTTATCGTTATTAAAAAATAGATCAGTATGCAGTTCTGGTCATTCCAGCAAGCACAGACCATGTATATAAATCTTATGTGTAAATCGGTTGTAAGCAAATAGCTACAGAAAAACCAAGCTAAGAAAGCTTGGATCACAAACTCAAAATTATATTAATAAGGTCATTTGATTTCAGAAGCGGATTAATTAATGTCAAAAGAAAACCCTCAACGTCTCACTTTGTATGAAATTAATCAACATGTTTGACCAAATTCACTATTATAAGTGCTTTGAGAACCGAGATAGAAATGTTGAACTGGCAATTAATTTGTTTAATGTCATCTAGGAACCAGTCATGTTACAATGATTTTATTTAGATTAAATTATCTTAAATAGATCTTCCTACATTCAGTAATTGCTTTATAAGTGAATATAACTTTGATCATGCTGACTTAGATGGCAGTACTAGCGCTGGACATTTAACCAGAATATTTTCTACTTCAGCGATATGCCGGTATATCCTGATTGTTATCCTGTGTGGAGTCTCATTCCTAGTGTCCCTTTCTTATGGACTAAGGCAGTTCACTATACATATTAACAGGTCTATGTAGGCTCCCATCCGCTCTCATGACTCGTAATAAATATTGATATTTTGAAAATAGCAACGTTAGCAGAATTATATTGATATGTCTTGGAGAATTTGTTCAAAAGTGTTGAATACAGATATTGAATCAATACACAAAAGTATGTTTTTGTCGTTTTATCTAGACGGGATTATCCATTCTGAATTCTGCTGGATATCAATTTCGAATATACTTTGATTCAACTAATTGTTAAAAGCCTTGTAACTCTAAACATTATAAATATGTTTATAATAACCAATATTAGCCAAACCAAGTTTATTTTGTTATGTATCAAGCACTCAGTAGCATTTTCATTGATAGAGCTTGAAACATTACATAAACAACTTTAATTCTTGAAGTTCTCCGTTTGATAATTCCATGTAATATCCACGATAGAATGGAGTTGATTTATATCATTTCATGTCACTATAGGAGAATGATGACCAGTGACGGAATTTTAAGTAGGATCAGTGATTATTTTCACATACGATCTCGAAATGTGAATTAAAGACGGAGCATGTTGAATCGGACATTATGCCGAGGGGACATTGAAGAGAACAACAAATATCAATGAAATACTAAAATAATCTTATTCAAAACCCAAATTTCATAACAGGCAAACGAAAGATTTACACGAAGACA